AGTTACAGGGAAGCTTGCCTGGTGAATGAATATTTTGGGCAAAATTGTTCAATAATGACAAAAATATCATTGTCATTTGACCTGTCCAAGATGGCGGGTCGAGCTACGTGTCGGGCACCTAAGATGGCGGACCGCCTCGCATGCGTCGTCCGACACCCGGCTTTGATCCCCGTAGCAATCACACGATTCTAAACACCGTAGCGTTTATTAGAACCGCCGCTAACGTTACCTCAAAGTACTCCGTACCGGAAGGTTTAGCGGATTAAAGGACGCAGTTCCGCTGCGTCGGAACGGCTAGAAAGCTTCGCGGGACGCGTTCCCGAGCCTCCTTACTGAGAGTGGCTAGTTAGCCCGTCGGCTAATACTAGCGAACGCCCTGTAGCGATCAGGGTCTCAAAATTGCCTCGATCAACCAACGGGCATCTCGCGCCGTGATTGAAAGGGTCTCAATAGCGTACGCAATCTGGATGCAGTATCGCTCTGCGGTTGTTCTCGGCTGACAGCGTTTACCGAGCAAGTCAAGCTACGGCAGGTGCTAACGAGAATTCCGACTAAGAATAGCGCGGATCCTGCGCTCATCGAATGGAAATAAATTTCCGACGGAGTCTTCTGTCTCCGATTACACAAATGGATGCACACAGTGTCACAAACACCGCGACAAACAATAAACAGACGGTTCCAACGTATTAAAACAGGAGAAATGTTTACCCTTAGATGTAGGCCTCAAAATGGCCGTACGCACACGTCAGCACTTAAGGTGTTTTGATGAAACAGCGCCTCCTGTCGGAGGGTGATGAATGTGCACCCCCCTTTCTGAGAGCTGAATGAGGAAGCGCTCGCCTTTTTCTTTTCTCTAACACACAGACACTGAACCAAAAAATATCCCAAAATGTCTCAGAGTCGGCACAAAGTGTAATAAACTGTGCAGATATCAAGCTAGGCTCGCCATATGTAACGGAATCAAAGTGATGTCTCTATCTAAAGTTGTATTTTAATACACTGTAGGTAGTTCACTTTTTATAACCAGAAGAATAGGCTGTTTTTTTCATCAGGGAGTTTAATTAAACACTCTGTATTGACTTTGAGACAAGAAAAGAGAGAGAGATGGGATCGTTTGAGAATCTTTAATTTCTGAATTATAAATTCTAAACAATCTACCAGGACTACTCTGTGATGGATGAGAATGGATTCGGATGTTGTGTTGGTGCGTGTGTGTGTGTGTGTGTGGTTCAGATTCTCTAGGCTGACGTCACTGAATCTGGTTGTCTTTGTTATGACTAGATATCACGAGGCTTATAAAGTGATGACATGAGCCGCTATTTTGCCGTGTACGTACCCAGTGGGGGGTCTCCCAGGTAGATCAGGAAATGCCAGGTCCAAGAACCTCGGGTGTACGCTGGAGCTGTCGGTGCAGCGGTCACAACGTTTCAAAGCCCGTCTGGAGGGTCGACCCCGGTACCGTTCGGCGGCGCGTCAGCAGGTGCTCTTATTTTGAAAAGGATGTCGTCTGGTTGTTAAACGACGAAAATCTCCAGCTTCACAGTTCTTAGTTTAAAGAAGAAAACACATCTGGCCAGGCTGCGTTTTTCTTTAGGATGACGTTGAATAGAACTGAAGTCAAAATGGAACTGACTTAAAATGGCGTTGCCTTGTTTTATATCTCTGAATTGTTTTAAGTTTCAGTAAAGTGGATTGGACACTTGAAGTCAACACCAGATTCTCCTGCGGCAGCCGAAAGCTCTGATTGGTTGGAACAATGTGTCATGCGTTTCTATGGAGATGAGGATCAGTATGTCTGTGCCGTAGTCCTGTTTTCATTAAACATAATTCATGACATATTTATTTCACAGATCATTCACTTGATTACTGTTGATCAACATCTGTTTTGCTTAATAATTTTAATCACAAATAAAGTACTTTGATTAAGTAAAGTTTCTTCTTCTCCTTCGGACTCTTCTCCTGGAATGTAAACAGTCTGAGGAACACCCGACCTTGGTTTTTCTACACGGTGTTATTGTGCACAGGGGACAGCTGTATGGAGTTGAAAACCATGAAATTCATAACCTTACAATGGTAACAGGCCGTCCAACTCTTGTGAGGTGATTTGAGATTCCTTGAGAACGTTTGGACACATTTTGGAAATTCCCTCACTAATGCCATTTAAAATGTGTCACAGAAGCATCGCAGTGAAAAACGGGAACATTAAATAACCTTCACCAACCCCAACCAGAACTTCCCTCCTGATCATCACGGATCAGACTCTTTCTTCTGTTTTACTGCCAGATGCTTTATTGACCAGTTACTGAATGAATCCTGTATCTGTTTAGCCAATAAAAGATTTCCAGATGCTGCTCTGATTGGCGACAGATTTGAAACCCTCCTGAATTTGCTACGAGGAGAAAATGTGCTTCTGCAGCAGCGTTTTGCAGGAACCCAGCTGGGACTCCAGCTGTAGCAGCACAGCTAAATGTCACTGAAAAGAATGAGGCAGCAAAACATTTTAAGATCGGTATCGTTCCACAAGCTGCATGAGGTCTGAGCGACAAAGTGTTGGATGCCAAGTTTCTCCACGATGGAAAAGATTTAAACATCATATTTAGCTGCTAGCTCTTCTCTGTGTTCAGCAGCGAGTTGTGTTTGTGTTTCCATACAAGAACAGGCTTTAACGTTACCGAGTCAGAGTTTTAGATACATCACATCTGTTCTTTAGCGAACTTAATCTTGAATTTAAAAGTCAAGAAACGCACCAATGTGACTTGTTTCTGTCTCAATCCCCTCCAACCTATTGACTCATTATAGAAGGGGTAATAATAACTCCAGATA